CACTAACATCAGCTGGAAACCTTAATGAACTACTACACACTCCAACATTTCCTTTTTGATAGCGGAGAAGTACATAAAAGTGCTCTTCATTAAATTTAAAATGGACTCATTAATAAAATATTGAGAAAGTGCTACTTTAAGACATAAGAAAAAAATGTATAAATTGGAGATAACGTTATTTCTATTTTTAAATACATCCCACAGAGGCACCCAAGATAGATGAGAAGTGCTAAGCCCCATCCCACAAGCTTATTTATTTATTTAATGGTGCTTATGTGCTATTTTTAACTGTGGAACACAGCAAAAGGTATCCATTAGGAAAATTAAATTGGATATAGGTTTCCTCACACAGGTTATACAAGTAAGGCACCTGGCTGAAAACAATGTTAAAGACATGATTTGTTTTGTTTTTTTTTTTCCCTGCCAGTTCCCTTTGGGATTTTGAAATGAAGGAGTAATTTGACTTTTGTTGCATCTGCTTGGCTATATCTATAGCTGCAAACCTCTGTCACTGCCTGCTCCCTCCTCAGGCCTCCACTGCTGGAAAGGTTTAACTTTGAAAATAACGCATGGTTTGAGTATGTACACAACGTGCTTGTCCCAGTTAAAACAAACAAAGACAAAAAACCACAGCTATAGAGCCCTGGGTCTTCTTTAAAGCCACAGTTGTGCACATACAAAAGACTATTTATTGCATCATTTTGCAGAAAATCTATTTCTTCAGAAGAGAAAAATAGATAAAAACACTCATTTGTTTTCAATAAGGGATAATTTACCCTAGTTGATGCCAGTTAGTTTTCTGGAGAAATCAATATTCTTTGATGAACTAAGAAACCAAAGGAGCAGCGATCCCTCTGCCAACTCTTCCCCTCTACCATAGACACAAGTTTTTGTGCACAAAAATGCCAAGAGCTACATGACAAATTATTTGCTTAGGAAAAAAAATAAAAGAAAAAAAAATCCTGACTTGGGTGATGATGACCCTTCCATCTTCCTAAGCGTTCGCCAGCTTTGAGGCATTGCAGAGCACCATCATGTCTAGCTCTCCCCAGCAGCACGCTCTCCCTTTTGCTCCCATTTGAGGAAGCAAATTCCAAGGAGGCATCCCGGCATTCCCGAGCAGTTTCTACCAGGGTTTCTGGTGAGCCCCAGCTATGCTGCATAGCCATTTACACGTGGCATTTAAGGAAGCTCTGCAAGTATTTGGTCCTGTTCCAACTGTGTTAGAGAGGATGCAGGTCTGGTCTGCACGTGTAGGGGCAGCTGTAGAAGGCAATAGGGGCACACAAGATGAATTTGAGAGGTAAGCCCTGCATCAATTATCAGTCCCCAATTAAATCTAGATGGTGGGAAGTCAGGTAAGCACAGGAGGGAGTAACTAATGCACATATAAAAGATGTGCCAAAATTCTTTGCGTTTGTTCTACCTTCTCAGAGATCAGCTCAGCTGGGAGATAACAGTCATTACTAAGCCCATAAATGCCAGGGTTTTATTTATAATCTATTCATGCATGACACTAGTAATGCTTGGTGACTAAGAAATACAGGAATTCCTAAAAGAAGTAGCTTTTCTCTGGAGTGGAAAGGTCACACTCCACAGAAAATTTTGCAAGCTGTTAATGCACAAGACAAGTATCACCAGTGGGAAGGTATAAAGATGGATAAAAACTTTTTAGATTCTTTTGATGAAGGAGGAAAAAAAAATCACTGCTAAACTCAAGATCATCCAAGACAAATACTCAGAATATTCTCAAATTCTAGACTATGTTGAGAACCTGACCTGAAGGCAAGGCCTGGCTTGGGCAGTAAAGCCTCTACTACAGTTTTGCTTCTGGTTGTGTTTCTGAAATATTCTGAATATTCTGAATGTGGGCTGTTGAACAGAGGCACCAGTGTGCCACTGACTGGCGGTCCCCCAAGGGCACTGATGGCTCAAGAGCCAAATTTTAAGAGTGCACGTATTTCTTTCCTCTCAAGGATCACACACGACATTAGAGGACTCACTTTGCAAGGCACAGCATTCATTCCTAAATTCCTCATCCTAATTGATCCTAAATTTGTTTGCTCCAGGCAAACAAATATGAGTTACCTGCCCAGTTTCAGACTTTTGCTTGCAAAAAAGAACTTCTGGGACTTAAAGCCTGAAACTCTGAATGTGCAGTTAGCCAAGAAGCTAAGATACACTATTTTCAAACCTGGTAGAGTCAAAACTATCTATTGCACATCCTTCTTTTCCATAGGTAAAGTGCATGGATGACAAATGAGTCCAACCCAAAAGGCAAGGACACCCTCTTCCAAACACACTTCAAAGGCTTAAACTTCCCCTCTTGAAGAAAATCCTCCTCCGCAATCACAAGTTGCCATGCTGTTCTAATGATAGGAAGTAGAGACCTAACATGTCAAACAGGTTTTTTTTTTGCAAGATTTGATGCCATAAATTTAACATTTCCCCTGGAAGTGTTGTTTGTACGTACATTTGTGCAACATTTAAACTGAATACATAATATAATACTGTCAAAATAGCTCATTACCAGGGTCTTGTCAAATTCAGTAACCACATTATGCAAATGACTTCCCTCTCAGTGTAAAAGCACGTTCAGTGATTCAAGTTTTTATTTATCGGAACAATTGTGTTTCTAGCAGTCTTTTGTACAGTGGAAATGAAGAGTCAGAAGGAGAATAAGACCCTCATGGTGGAGGGTGAGCACTCACAGACTAAGAGGTAATTCTTCATGCTAAGCTAAAAGCTTGTTTAGAGAACAAAGCATCTAAGTAGAAAGAAACCTAGTGGAAGCCAACCTATACTTTGTTAAAATTACCCCATATATAACCTTAATTCTCTTGACCTCTACTGTTTTTATTTTAGCAACAAGTTTAAAAAAATGCCAAACAAGGCACTGGCTATTTTAGGTCTGCAAACACTCAGTCTCTGAGATACACATTACTTCCAACTATCTGAATGGTGGCTTAGATTTATCCGTCACTTCAGCTATCCACTTTGCCAGACACTTCTCCTGAATACAGCACCCACCGAGCTCACGAATTTCTTGATTCTCCAAACGGCCTCCTAGGTGCCAAAATTCCCACCTTCTCCTGGGATACTTTTGACAATGTAAATGTTTTGGAAGGAAAAAAAAATTGCATCACACCATCAATTTAGGATAATATTTTGTTGTTCTCTGGACACAAAACACATTGAATATTATGTTTGAAATATAGCATTGATATATAAAACTATGAAGCCCAGAAGGTGATTTAGGATTTCCAGATTCTGACCAGTTTTTGGAACTTCTATGAAGAAAGAAACATGGTATGACAAGCACAGGTAGAAAGAGGTCTTCTGGCATTAGACAGCCTAACTCTTCTCTCCCTATAGCCCTCAGCAGATAAGGGCAGACTGAAGAACTGAGCAGATCTGCCTCAAACTTTACTGTCCAAATCTGAAGCAACTTCTACTAAAAGAGACTTTTTGGAAAAGTCATACTAGCTCGTAACAGGGGAATTACTATTCTCCCTTCAATCCACTGGGACTCTGACTTTCACTAGAACGCCATACAAACTTCCAACATGTTGTCAAGAGGAGAGCTCAGATTTTCTGGCACTAGGAGGCTCTGGCAATAACGACCAATTTTTCTTTAAAACTACAGCTACAACAGAAATCATTTCCATGTGCATAATTGCCCTTGACCAAAAACTCATTTGTATCAGGCAAACCAATAAAATAAAATCTCCTTGAAAACAAATGATCATGATGTACGATTTGGGGGATAACAATTAAAACAGCCTCACAAGTTATGGAAAAGCTAGGTCAAATTTCAACAATGAAGGTTTCCACTTGTCAGCTACATTAAAAAAAATCCAACTCTCACTGCTAAACAGAAGTGAGAAAAAAATAACATGCTGATGCACGGCTACTAGTAATGCTTCACACTCAAGTCAGGCTACAGGAAAAAAAATAGACAAATTCCAAAACGATTGACAAAAATCTACCCTTTCTTTCTAAACTGAATATATGATCTCTGGTGACCTGTTCAGAAAATTGAGGTCCTAAACAAAACAAACAAACAAAAAAGGAAGAAAAAGGAACGAGCAGAAGTCAACCTTACACATTAGTTTGCCCAGAGAGCAATTTCAAATCATCCTTTTCCTCTACCCAGGAGACCCGAGGCAGCACACGTACAGTGTATTTTATACAGCATTTAAGTTTGCATCTGCAACTCGTCCAACATTAGGTGCAGATCTCTTCATGTTCCCTCTCAAACAAGGGACCTCAGGCACAGCCAAACTAGAACATACATCTGCTTTAGTTTAGCATGCCTTTATTTTTATCTATTTTTGAAGTTTTACCCTGTTTAGGTTACTGAAGCTATAAATCCATTTATTTATGTATTTTTATTGGAGAACTCTGTTTCTCCTGGGCATAAAGAGATGTGCTTCATTTCAGAAGGGCATAGGTAGGGAGAGCAAATGTGGAATAACGGGAACTCAGAACAACAGGACGAAAGGGAGATTATCTGAAACGATAAGCACTTACCATGGATGTTGCACAAGATCTCAAAACAGTTTGTCAGCCCCAAGCGTTGGGGGAATTTTTTCATGATCTTCAGAGAATTTTATTTATTTATTTTTTTTAAAGACCAAGATGTCAAAAAGACAACCAGGAAAAACTCTATTGCCTCCAAAGAGAGGCTGGAAAAACAGAGCAAAATGTGCGCTTTAGAAAATCCAGGTGTTTCAAGAGATTATGGAAAGTCAAGAGTGTTGTCAACAGAGATCAGACACTTAAGCTGTGCATTAATACCTCACAACAGATCATACATTCAAATCTAAGTAACTATAAAAAGCCAGTAGCTTTGCTGGCCCCTCTACAGCTTAACACAAATTTACTTTGAAGCACCAGGAAGAATTTGTGCATTCTTCAGTACAACTATTTAAAAATGACGCACATACGTGCGTCAGCTGAAAAGGCATTTTGCTCACATCTGCTGCAGATGAACCTACCATGCGGTAGTGTTATGTTTGCACCGTCAATGATGGCCTGTGCCAGTTCGTGATCGTTGCTCTCGAACGCGTGCGCGGCAGCCTTGAGGGCATCCCAAATCTCTTTGCGGCCTTCAAAAGCTGGCGCCGTGTCCCAAAACTCGTCCCTCTTGCTGCGTAGCTGTCCGTCCGTCATGGGGTAATCACTCTTCCATTTTGGCTTCTCTTTTTTCAAGGGTTGATTACGACCTAGAGCAACTGTGGGGCAGAAAGAGGAAGGTGAATTAAAAAAAGCAGTAGAATTAAAAACTGTATAAAGCTATGACATTCCCAAAAGCACCCTTTTGGTCATTAAGTTGGAAACAGCAAAAGTTGACTTTTTCTGGCAATCACAATCCTTACCTTCATGCTCCAAAGCATCATCCCTCTCTTTCTACCTCCTTGAAAATTTATGGCACTACCTCCCACTTGCTGATTTTATCCATGTCTCCACGTGCCACACAGACATGGGCCTCCCCAGCCCAGAAACCAGCTGATGGTGGTGGTTGCAGCTAAGCAAGAGGTATCTTGTGCAAATGCTTTTTACTAAGCTTTTTTTTTTTTTTTTAAATCTCTTCATTTTAAGAGAGTTTTAATTTAAGGTAAGTATACATAGAATAAAGGAAAATAAGAACTATAAAGGCTGGAATGGTTAACGAGCTCAGGAATTGCTAAAGAATAATCCAGAAATCTGCCAGGTTTTAATAAGTGGTTAGTTCTTCTACAATAAACTCAAGAGCACGTTTTGTTTTAACTGCAGCAGTGTTTATGCAGTAGCCAGTAAAGATAATCACACAGATGTAATGATGTTGGATTAAAACTACCTGCTCAGTTTCAATTAGAGCTTTGCGAAGAACATGCTAAAACCTTCCTGTATTTACTTCATTTGTGTGCGTAATGGCTTATTTCTACTTCTTCCTGAGAACGGTGCCCAGAGGTGCCTGGGAGCAGGATGGTGAATGCCTTTTCCCTTCATACATATCACACGCTGTCACTGACACCTGCAGAAAACATATCCTGGGGCCTGAAGAAGTCTATCATTTGGGCTCTTCTGATGGTAGCTCACATGAGAAAAACAGAAGAGACTGGTTGTGAAGTTATAACTGTTAATAAGCATTTCAATACTGTGATGGACACCAAATGCATAAAACTGACTTTTATTATTCTACATAAAGGAATATTAAAATCACACTACCCAAAAATATATACTACTTTTTTTTTTTGTGGCAGAGACCACAAATCAATCGTCCAGTTGCGGAACACAACCTGGGCACCAGGAAGGACCCTGAAATACAATGAAAAATAGGGAACAAATTTCATCACACCAGGAAGAGTTTCTCCCTGCAACGGCTACAGAAATCCATATATTTAATCCATATATTTAAACCTAATCCTGGCAGCTAGGAGGTTTGCTGGAATGGGACACAGAGAGCAGCACGGGGAAGAGCGCAACGACAAACCACAAGAACAGCTCTCACCACGACTCGAGGCCGCAAAGCCTTGAACATATAGTTGAGCTGTCTCCAGAGGAAACAAAACGTCCTTCAAAGCTAAAGCAGATTTAAGGGTGCCTGCAGCCTCTACATGGGAAAGGCCATGAAGAGTAAGCGATGAATACCGAGAGCTCCTACACAGCAGGTGAGATGTGCAGAGCCCAGCTCGCAGAGGATCCCAGCGCGCCCAGCCTTCTCTTTCCTTCCCGCTTAAGGATCGGAGACTTTAAGCTGCTGAAAGTAGGATACATGCAAGAACTTTTGAGGTGACATTTCCAAACACAAGAAGGCACCTGCATTCTTCAGACTGAGAAAAAAATACAGTAGACAAACTAGCAGAATTCTCCCTGGGAAGCAGAGCCCTTGCAGGAAAACGCTTGGCACTTTCTGCTGCCGTGGGGCTGTGTTTGTGCAACTTCCCTCAGCTTCTCCCAGAAGCGCTGAGTGTTTAACAGACCTCAGGAGTGCTGGATGAAGTGTTTACAAAGCCCCGCATCTCCGGGCGACATGCAGCCCTATCACCATGGCACGCATGCGAGCAAGGAGCTAAAGTCGCCTCTGCCGAGGACAATGGCAGTCCGGGAAGGATGGCTGCAAGCACAAAACCCATCTTGTGAGTTTGTAAAAACCATACGTGCTAGAGCATTTAAGCAAGGAATTGTTTCCCTATTAAAGCTTGGCAGTCAGAGCGTGGAAATTTCAGACAGCCTGAGCAGGACGACGTGATGAAGTCGGGTCAATGGGCATCTCCGCCTCCCTGTTACTTAAGGTAACATCTGGTTGCATGTACGTTCAGTGAATGCTAACGTGTCCCGCAGGGCCCTCTCCATCTCCCCGAACGTTAATTATGAAAGCAGGATAAAGCTTCCTGCACCTCCCGCAGACCCAGACACAGCGGTGAATCTGAGCACGGACATGGCATCCCAATGAGGATTGCCACCAGCTCATTCTCCCATGCCACCCCTTGCCTCCCTCCCTGCCCGAGACAGAAATCCTAACAGCCTAAAGCAACCATCCCTGGGGACGCTCCTAGCTCCTAGCTAGACAGCTGTGACCACAAACCCAGCCATAACAGTGTGTTTTCACGTAGGAGAGAAGGATAGTGGAAGAAGGTGGCTTGGCAAACACCTCTGAAGCCATATCCACGTCAAACTATCCACCCAGCCCCATACACGACACTGAGTAATCACAACAGGAGTTTATAGCCCTTGTTTTGGAAGCTTAGCTGATCTCAACAGAAAACAGTAGCTGCATTTAAGAATCACACACATCAGTGGCACAACTGCCTTGTAAGACCTGGAATAGAAAGCAACATCCCCATTAATTTTTCATCTTATATCACTTTATCATAAATAAGAAATTATTAATATCCTACTCAGCAATATGGAATACTGTTTTATAAACACCAAAAAAGGCATGTTCTCTCTGAAGCAATAGTGAAAGCTGTCCATCTCAATAAAAAGCAAAGGCTGATATTTCCTTCCAAATCAACCTCTTGCAAAAATATGAAGGCTGTTAACAGCCTACTTTTCAAAAAACAAGATATGCACACTAGTGACACTTGAAAATCGCTTAATGCGTTCCTGTTTCACGAGCTCACAGACATAGCCGAGGTGCTGCTGCTTTTCCCCAGAAGGGGTAAGAAGCTGTTGACAAGTTGCAAGCCCATGCCCAAGCGAAGCCTTCCTCCAGGGAGGAAGGATGCACGGGTTTTTCCCAGGTTCTTCTGAGGGATTGAGCGGGATTAGACACACGCTTTCTCCTGCACGATCCACTGGCCACTCCTGGATGTCCTGGCCAGAGATGTTTCTCAAAGCTGCCTCCTGCTCTCCTTCTGGTCTCCTCAGGTTCAAATCAGAGACACTTCTTGCACGTTGTTCAGAGCACAAGCTACACCCACCATCTCCAAAAGCTGCTCACGTCTGCTGAGTTAATGGCTGCAGAAGCAATGTCTAAGAAGGGAGTCCTGATAATTACCAGTTGCATAACAAAGTTCTTGAGGCTCAACACACAAAGTGTAAAATACAAATTCTAGCTAGACATCCCAGGCTGTAACTTTGGAGGGGACACAGGAAAAGTGCCTCTTTTCCAGAGCAGAGGCTCATTTCTACAGTCCATGCAGGCTATTTTATAACCCGATTTAAGGTTTGTCTCCCCTTCTCACAGCTTCTCATCAAGTTAATGGAATCAGTAAGGCTATCCATGCTGCTTTTGAGGGAGCTTATGCAGATAAATCCAGATATTTAAATTTGTTTCTTAGGAATATGTCAGAACAGATGTTGTGTTTGCTATGCCACTATCACTGTAGATCACAGTATTTCCTCCCCCTTCCAAAGCAAGCCAGATAAATGAAAACAGCTGGTAAAAGAAGAGTCTCGTACTAAATACCAATATCCAGTTAAAGCCTTCAAAATTCTTGGTTTATAGACCCATGAACTGTAGCACTCGATAATCAAATCAGATAGTACTTCTGCCCCAAAGGGCTTACTGTCAAATCAAATAGCAACTCCAACAGCTGAATGAGACATCACACAACTTACACTCTTCTGCAGAAGGACAGGTGGATCAGTGTTTTAATAGCGAATTAGATTTCCCTCCTTCTCAGCTATTAATAATGCAGGTAAACCTGTAAGACTGGCCACAGGACTCATTCCAACACAACAACCTACAGCTATTCCTGTCCCATGCTAAAACTTGCTCTCTTTTGGGTGGGCATCTTCCCTTTCACTTCTGCATTAGCCCTCAGACAGTCTTTAGAATAATGTTAAATTAAACTTGGCTACCATGAAATTCCTAGAAGCATTCCTTTCCCTTTGAAAGGAGAGCTGAAGGTGGAGGTATGTCAACCATTAATCAGTCTTTTACTGCTTGTGGGGCATGGGAGTAAAAGAAGGTCCAATTTGACCAAAACGGGTGTTAAACAGTCTCCAGTGGCAACTCATGTAACGCTGAGAGGGTAGCAGCCAAACCCTTAGAAGGACATAGGCAAGACGAGACATTCTCAGTGCTATTTTTCTTTTTCTTAATTTTATTTTTTTTTAAAAGACATGTATAGAAGATGAAGACACCTGCTAAAACAAGAGGTAAAACTGATTTTGAATGAATTGTGAGACAAGAAGCAGGAAAGACCAATAGAAATACTGAAGAAACAAAAGATCACCAAAATGGAGACAATAAAAAGGGAGACAGATTCCCAGAAATATTCTCATTGAAAAGATAAGTTTTGAAGACTGTCAAGCTGCATAGAAGGAAGGCAGAAATGACATCCTGTCAAGAAGACACAGACTAAGAGTTAGGGCGCTAAGGCTACCGAGGACAATTTGGCACAGCAGTTAGCGTTCAGCTTATTTAGACTGTGTATACGCACAATTGAAATAGTGGAAGTAATATGCTCTCAGGGATAAGGGGTTTTTTGTCGTTGTTGTTGTTTGTTTGTTTGAAGAGGCTGTTATTTGAAGACAGTCTGAAGAACCTAACTAAATATTTTATAAATTGAGCTAATGAGCAAAAATATTTTCATAAGAAAATGCTTCAATTGCAGTTGAAGATCAATTGCTGACAAAGTATTTTTCTAAGTCAAATGAAATGCAAAGTGACAGTTTATTAACAATAAAGTTTTTTGTAATAGTCTCAAGGGCTTCCTTCCTGCCCCTATCAGCGAGTAATATTCCACTTTACCAAATAAGTCTCATTTGAAACCCATTTTGCTCCAATTTCCCCATAAGGTAT